GGCGGTAACCCCCACCGTCCCGAGCGGGACACCTGCACACGCCGGGGCACCCCGCACCACCCCAGCAAACGACCCCCATCTGTGGGGGCATCCCCGCACCACCCCGCGCAACCCTGCACTGCCCTGGGCATTCTGCATCCATCCTGGGCATCCAGAATCCTGCCCCACTGCACCCTGTACCTGCCCCAGCCACTCTGCATGGGTTCCCTTTACCTTGCCCCCCGCCCCCCCCCAGCCCTGAGCTGTGCTGCCCTGGCACATCCCACAGCAGCCTTCCAGCCCCGGCATCTTTCCCTGTGGCCAGGGCAGCAGCCCCTGCCTGCCCCATTGCTCCTCAGCACCCAGCTAGTCCCCGGAGGATGCCCCATCCCAGCCTCAGCGTTGGGGCCAGGCGCAGCCCTGCCACCCATCCACCCCCCTGCCATGCACCGGGCTGTAGGCTCAGCAACCACAGCCCTATAGGCCCCAGCAGCACCGTGCAGCAAGACCCAGCACCTCTATCATTCCCCTTTCCTCCTGGCATGCTGCTTCCCAGCGTAGGGATATCTTCCCCTCCCACGCACGGCCTCCTGGCAGGAGCCGCCTCTCCTCCAGCCTGCCTCTGCCCGTGGCAGGGCTACCTCTCTGTTTCAGTCCTGCCTGATGGGATTACAGAAATCATTTGAAACAAGGTATGGATTTGGGTTCTGCAGGATGTGTCTCGTCTCTACATGTCTCTGCAATAACCAAGGCAGCATCAGCTGCAATGCCTGATCAAAGAGGAGGACGTACAGTTACCAGCAGACACCTCCACACTTTCCAATCCAGGCAAGGAGAGCTGGGCTCTGCTTCCCTCCTGCTGCCAGAGCTGCAACCCAGACCCTACCCAGGCTCCGCAGAGCAGCCACTGCTTCCCAATTAAGATGCTTGTGTAGCAGCATGCAAAGGGCAAGCATTTATTTTGGCTCTCCTGCATGCCACCGGCATATGCACAGAGCAGGTCAGAGCTTTCCTGCCCCTCCTGCCCCACTCCTTCTCCAAGTGACTGCTCACTGGTGGTTGGCAGCTTGATCAATTTTGTTGCTGGCCTGTTATACGCAGGGTGAGCTGCATGCTGCCACCCCGTACACCCTTGAGCAGACAATGGGGTCCAGCACCCCATGGGATGGATGCACAACCCTCTGCCCAGTGCCCACCAGGGTTCATCAACCCTAAGAAGCATCCTGAACGGGCCCCTGGACCAGTACCTGGCTGCCCCGCAGCAGGCAGGGCTCCAGCCATGGCTCCTTGTATCCCGCTGCCTAGCAAAACTTGCCCAGGATGAGATCACAGCACACAGCTGCAGTGGTGCCTCATGGCCCACTCCCCACCACGGGCACAGCACAGGGAGGGTTGGGTGCTCACAGAGCTGCTCCACTCCCAGCTTCAGATCGATTTTCTTGCACAACACCAGCTCTGATGGTGCCTGACAAGCCACCCTTGCTGGGGCACAGTCCATAGGACCACCCATGCCAGGCTGTTGGGTGGGGTGAGTGTGTGGGGCATGACCTGCTCCTGCCCACCCAACCACCCCACTGTGTCAAGCCTTGTACAACCTCAGGCTTCTCCCCATGTGCTGGGCACACACCATGCAGCATCGCCTGCACACGCCTCCTGTGGACCCAGCCCAGGCACCCCTTGGGGCTGGCCCCAGGGAGCCCAGCATCAAACACACACACCCCACCCTGGACCAGCAGCCACAGCAGGGCAGCTGCATGTGTTACTCAATGGGCAGCATATAGTAAAATCTCCCTGGTCGCCTCTGGCTCTGTCACAAGCAGCATTTAGCCACGACTCAGAGAAGGAGCAGAAGGGCTGGAAGCTGTCAGACGTGCTTAAAACCACCGCAGCTCAGTGCTAACATGCAGCACAGCAGTGGTGGCTGCAAGGCACGCAGCCAGGCTGGGCGGAGCGCAGGTCCCCAAACAGGCCCCATGCCATGACCAGGTCTTGCCCCAGTCCCCACATCCCCCCGCAGCCTCCTGCACCCGCTGGAAATCTCTGGGCCGCTAGAGGGTCTTGGACACTGGCAGCCCTGGGTCTGTCACCACAATGGAGTTCTGGAGTCCTGCTCATCACACACAGACCTGACCTGCCAAGCATCCAGCATGGCTGGGGGGAGCCTTTTGTGGGAGGAAAGAGTAGGGGCAGCCCCGTTGCTAGGCCATGCAATAAAGCAGGGTCCCCTGGCAGCAGGCAACTGGCCCCAGGGAGGGACATGTCCTTTCCTTTCCCCCAGTGAGGCAGCGTGGTCCCTAGGGCGCTTTCACCAGATCACTGGGGCCCTGAAGGGCACAAAGCAGGAGGTCAGCACCCGATTCCGTGCTCTCCTCCTGCAGCACCCTGCTCTGCCACAGCTGCCGTGCAAGCAGCAACCCACTGCACCCCCACCCAGAGCCACCCTGCCTTCTGCCACACCGCTCCAGCACTGGCTGCTGCAGAGAGCCGCCCTCCCTCCCACCTCCGGCACGGCAGCAATGCAGAAAGCAGCATCCAAGATGCTGCTTGGCGCAGGCTCAGCTGCCTGCCAGGGCCGGCAGAGGAGGGGGCTGCCGGCCACGGCTGCACACACTAGGAAGAGGGGCTTGTTCTGCCCAGAGACAGTGCCCAGTTCTCCCAGGCTGTGGCTCTGCTGGCCCTGGGGCACTCCCTGCCTGCACGCCAGGCAGGATAGGGGGGAAGCACAGCCCTCCTGCCCCAGCCATGGGTCCCACACAGCAGGGGTTAGCTGACACAGCCACGGCCGTGAGCAGGGCTTCCACCTCTGGGGTCACCCACTACAGGCTATAGGCAAGCAGAGCCCTTGACACAGGCTTCCCCTGGGGCATAAGGGGAGGGAGGGCCTAACAGCCAGCCCAAGGCTGCTCCTCCCTAGCCTCCTGGAAGGGCACAAGCAGGGATTCACACACATCTGTCCTCATTAATGAGGGTGTCCATCTCCATCAGGCCTGGCCAGCAATGCCTTCCAACCCACCTGCAACAACACAGCAAGAGCCTGGCACAGGTGCAAGGGCGGTGCAGTTCAGGGATGAGCAGGGCACAGGGTGCCAGGCAGCCCACACAGCTGTGCCCCTGAGAGCAGCCACCCGCCTGCTCCCAGGGAGGCAAGGGCTCAGCTCCAGTTCTAGGGGCAGCAGGCACAGGCCCACCAGCCAGCACATGGGGCACTGCCCCGAGTCACCAACATCCCTCACAGTAGTCTGAGCACAGCTGAGAGCTAAAGCCCCAACATCCCTCCTTCTCTCCACTCCCTAAGCTTGCCTTCTTGCCATGGCCTACCCTACAGAACTGTTTATTTGCCCTTAGATTAAGATCAAGTGCAGCTCTTCCATGAGTCCCTGTGAGCCTCACCACATCCCACACCGATGGGACAGAAGGAAGACATGGGTCAAGAAAAAGCTACCAGAGGGACCACAGGTCAAATGGTCCACAAACAAATTGCTGAGGAAGAACCAAAAAGAAAAGAAAGGTGCTGGCGATGGCAGTTTCTAGGTTCAACAGACTGCAAGAATGCAGAGCACTAAGCTAAAGCAGCCTGCTACATGGAGAAATGAGACTCCTAGCATTAGCCAGGTCAAAAGTTGAGAATGCAGCACATTACCCATCCAGTGAAAGCACTGTGGCTGTCATGAAGGAGCTAGCAGAGGAGCCTCGGTGCGTATCAGCAAAACCATGCTGTGATGAGAAGTGCACTCAGTCTGCAGCTCCTCCTAGACTGCAGAGGTACTAGCTTGAGCATCTCAGTAACTGCTGTGGCTGGGAAGCTGGGCTTGCTAGGGCTCAAAATTACCCTGCAATATAACTCCCTCTTGCTTTATACCTCTGTCCTGGTGGCACATGCCACAGACTACTAGTAAAGCTCTTAATCAACATACAAATCCTACAGCTTGTACAAACTCTTGCAAGCATGTGAACACCAGCTCATGAAACAAACAGGGAAGGGGGTCTTTCTTTCCCAAACCAAATTGTTTAGCTGTTCACAAAAGCTCTACCGAGAAAGAGATAAAGACCATGTATATAGGTGCTGCTGGGCTGTACTGGGAGGAGCACTGAGGAGGAAACACAGGCTCTGAATACACACTCCTTTTGCAAAGTAAGCTCTCTGTATTCATCCAAGAACGTCTGCAGTATGGGGTTCATCTGGTATAAATAAAGTACAAAATTTTACAATGTCTTAATCATTATTTTAACAAAATACTAAAAACTGAGTAAAAACTGAAACCAAAGTGGGAAGGGAGACTATCAGCCACAAGGGATCTCCATAAACATTTGTAGAAATTGGATAATAAAAACACTTTCTCTGTACAATAAAACCATCCTCCTGGCATCTCCCTGTGAGACGGGCAGCAGCAGCACTGGGAGCACAGGCCCGAAGACAGAGGTTGGGGGCAGCCCCAGTTTGTGGGTCAGGCTGAAGAGGCTGTATCCAGTCCACAGTGATGTCTCCCTCCTGGATGAGGCTGAAGTGCCACAGATCAGTAGCGTCCAAATGGGTTGTTGTTCTGCTGTGTCTGTGTATCTGTTGAGGTCAAGACAGAGTTAGACAGTCACAAGGTCTGGTTCAGAAAAAGAGATCCCTCTCCCCACATCACCAGCACAGTATGAGGAGTGTGTTGCAGGCTGTGAGAAGAAAAATATAACCTTTATGGCACTCCCTGCTCTGGTTATTTGTCTGAGCCTTTAGGCAGCAGCACAGTCAGGACCCCACATTCTTTGAGGAAGACAGGTATGTGCCAGTCCCAATCCTGAAGCTTCTCCAGAGGAGGTATCTCCATCACTCGTGGTGGAACTGGTGCACCATAACAAAGCCCTGAAAGGTGGCAGCTAGCTGGGAGGATGACTCTATGGATGAATTATTTCCGATTTTGAAAGAAAATCAGCCCTATAAGATTGCACAACACCTGCAGCCATAGAAGCTGCTCAGACAGCTAGTATCAAACACTCATCCTAAGGCACACCCAGAAACCAGAGTTAGTGAAGGTTTCAAACTACCCTGGCTCCCTGTCACTATCTCAGTACAAATGAAGGACATGCCCAAAGGACTTCCAGATGGCACAAAAAGGGCAGGAAACATGGTAAAGATATATTCAAGAACCTCATGAACTTCCAAACTGCTGAGACTGATGTTTTGTGATACACAGTGCTCAGAGTAGACTTGGGTACTGTCCAATTAATAGAATTCTGTAGTTTTTTTCCTGAAACCCCATCAGCATGTTTGAACCTAAGTCAGACTAAGTAAAAGGAGACCAGTGTAACCTGGCTAGCCTGCTCTCCTCAACTCTGCTGCACAACAGCACATTCAGGGATAACCTGGAGCCTCCTAAAGCAGCCTATCCTGGGCCTAAAGTATTCTTGTCCCCCTCCTACAGGTTGTTCTTGGTTTATGTCCCGCTTTCCACTCCATCCCAGACAGTACAAATATGAACTCCAGATGGTGCCTGGTGGAACTGATGCAAACCCAATGAGGGAGCATGGAAGCTGCACGCTGACACATGGCTGCATTGGACCCACGTATCTGTTCCACATAGAACAGCTCCATTTGCTGTACAGACAAGATACAAAAATATGGCTTTCTGCTATATTCAGATTCTTATATGAGGTCTTCCTATGCTTGAATGTCCTGGCTGGGATCCTTGCACAGGCTTGTGGTTTGTGAATCAGGCTAGTGGGAAATTTAGCACATTAAAACTCCTGGTTTGGGGAGGGTTTTTTTGGTCACAAGGACTAAGAATTTTCCATCAGGGAAAAAGTATAAGCACAGTTTCCAAGCCCCCACTCCACACATTATTACATCTAGCACAGTCTCACGCTTAACGCACTGCAAAAAAACCCTGTGCAGTCCATTTCTGGGCATTTTCATAGCATGTCTGTCATTTTTATGGCAGAAAAGCCGGTGAGGTGACAGTAAAACAGCAGGCCATTCAGAAGGGAACAGCACAGACACTGGGTTCTGTTTCTAGATCTCCCAGCCAGTAGTTCAGCGCAGATTATAGGAATACAGTGCCAGATGAAACACCACGTATGCCATTACCCGGTCTGTGACAGCAGCCACAGAAGCCCACAGAACACCGCAAACACAGCAAGCGTGCAGCAACACTTCTCAGAGTACCCTCCCTGCCTCCAAGAAGTCTTGCCCTGATCACAAGACGACAGTATCTCTGGGTCATCCACCAAGCAAGTGCCCCAGGATTACAGCCTTCTTGTTCACCTCAGAGGTCAACTGCAGCAGAGGAAATACCTCTGAATGCTTTAAAGCTTCAGACTGCATCCTTTCAGGAAAGCTGCATGGCAGCCCCTACAAAGTCTCAGCTCCCTTGCCCCTCTGCAGGCAGCAGAAGGAAGGTCTGGAAGGTTGTTCACAAGCTCGCAAACTCTGCCTGCCCTGCTGCTGTGTCCCCTTGGGCCAGGAGCTCCAAGTCCTGATGCCACCTCCCTGCCAGCACCATTTATGGCCTCAGACAGTCTGTTTTGGCCTTGCTTCTCTACACCAGGGTACCTGCAACAGAAAATGGTGGGGAGGAGACTAGGGACAGGATCAAGAACATTAAGGCTTACTAGAAAGCTGTTGCTGAAGCTGTCGAACCAGAGCAGCTGTTTGCTGCTGCTGCTGTGTCTGCTGAAGGCCCTGGCGCTGGAACTGCAAAGACAGAAACATAGTTATAGCCACACCACCTGGCTGGCAGCCTCGGCATTCACACAAGTCCTGGGAAGCGCAGGGGATGGAGAAGGGGGGGGATGCAGGTGGAGCACCGTTGGATTTATGCTGGTCTATCACGTCCCTCTGCCTCTGAGGGAACACTCACAATGGGCTGCTGGGGGGGAAGAGCCTGCATCCCCAGCCCTGGGGGCTGGCCCTGTGCCTGTGGCTGAGGCACTGTGGAGACCTGGGGTTGCTGCTGCGGCTGTGGCTGCGGTGGCTGCGGCTGCTGCTGCTGTTGCTGTTGTTGCTGCTGCTGCTGCTGTTGCTGCTGCTGCTGCTGCTGCTGTTGTTGCTGTGAAGACAAAAGAGAAAGGACCATCAGGGAACTGTCCGGGCAATGTGCACAGCAACAGGGCACAGGAAGGGCTGAAGGAGGAAGGACATTCTGTGCAGTAACACATTCTCTTACACCATTTTCCTTACAGGTACTTAAATTACCCAAATTTCACCAGGACCCTGCCCTGGGCTGAGAAATGTCAAGAAATACAAGGACAATAACAAAGTTCTCCTGCAAGATGAGGTAACAACAGATGGCAGGAAATGAACTACTAGTCTACTGGTCAGCTGGGGAATGACCAGGAGCAAACAAGATACAAGAACAGAAAACAACTAAGAGCTACCTCAAGAGGTTGGCTGATTCATCTCTTGCCTCCTGGTTAAGATCAGCAATACTGACTTCACTGAGTATCTGCCTGACCTGTTCTTGAAATTTTTCCAGAGATAGCAAGAGCTCCTATAACCTTCCTACACAATCCATTCCAGCTCACAGTTACTCCTACCACTGGAGTTTTCCGTAATCTCTACTCAGAATTTCATATGTTGTAACTTAAGGCCATTTCTTGTCTACAGCCAAGGGACAAGAACAGATAAGGGGGTTTAGGCTTTTTTTGAAGACAAAAGATTTGGAGACTTATCTCTCCTCTTGTCTCTGCCTCTCTAACTCAACCCCCAGCTATTTCAGCCTTTCCTTCTCAGTCATATTCCCCAACTCTTTGATCTTTCTTGCTGCCCTTCTCTGCCACTCATGCCAGCTGGTGTTGCAATTCAGTAAAAGGATGTGGATAAAACTGGATGCAGTGCTCCAACCTAGATGTTGACAGAACTAGTTACGGTGAGAATATTCAGCATGTTGAACTTGGAGTCAGATTACACCCACAGTCTCAAGGTTTTTCATTTCTCCCATCTGCCAATGTAGTTTTGAAGTCTCTAGATCAACAGAAGAATTTCTAGCAGAAATAGAAAACTACTAATGCTATCATAAAAAAACAACATGGTGATGCTAGGTACAGTTCCAATCACTGGCTCAAAAGGATAAGGTTCAAACCTTGGACAGACTCAGAAAACAGACAAAAATACAATCAGGAGAAGGGACAGGATCTTATGCGAGTAGCTTAGAAAAACCTGAGCTATGGAAGCTGCAAATGCTCCCTAGGAATACATTGGGTAAACATCAGAGAGAAAGAAGAGCCAGTAAACAACAGGAAACAGTGGACAATAATAACTGGATACAAGAAAGAGTCACAAACACATTGAGGCTGGGATCAAGGATTCAACACAAAGGCAGCTTCTAGAACAGCCTCCTAACTTCCATCTTAAACCAGTCTGGCCACTTAGGTTCTTGAAATGGATGCTATGACCTGGGTATACACGAAAGCAGATGACTGACTAAATGACCCAGGATACCCCTCCCAATCTCATGTCCTACCTTCTTGCAACAGCTGACTACCAACCCATGCAGGACAAACCAAAAGGCCATCTGTCCTTTCTACAAGCCACTGCATCATGACAGTCAGCTCAAGCACCAGGAGTCTGTTATGTATCTGGTATGCCTCTGATAATGCTGCAGGAGTCACAGTAACAGGGGAGATTTTGGACACTCCACTTTTTTTTATTTTTTTAAGCAACCAAGCAATGTCAGCTAAAAGCTGAAGGTATGCATGAAGTTACTGAGCTAGAAGTGCAAGCAATTTGTCTGAGGCATGTTCTTTTTCTAAATATGAGTGATGGAGAATGCTAAAAGAAACCAAGTGAATAGTCAGGGGGTGCTACTCATCAAAAGGCTGCTGACGGTGCTACAGACATTCTCTTGTCCAGTGCAAGGCAGCAGTTCTCAAATACTGCTGACTGCAGCTCTCTGCAGGAACCACTGACTCGCTCAGGCCCCTCTCAGAACAAAAAGCCTCAGCACTCTGTGCCGTGTAAAGCCTCCCCATATTCTACAGGTTTGCTAGGCCTTGTCATAAGGTAGGCAATTCACCAATTAACCCAAATTATTTATGTGTTTCTCTGTCAACTGAATACATTTCTGTAACTCCAAGAAATTTACTCCTATCTGCATATTATAAAAGTATTTAATATTCATAAGAGCACAATGCAAATCCATGGAATACTCATGCCTGTTGACACACATGTGAACTTCTTGAAACCTAAAGTTGGGTCTAACAGCTTACTTTGGATTAGTTTTTCACCATCTGCTGTTAGATATGGAGTACATGGACTGATTCACACTAGATTTCCTGCCATTGGAAACTGCAACCGATGGTTACTTTGATCTTGTGAAAAATACAGATATGACCCTAAAAATGACCTTGTAAGGAACAACTTTACCTGCTCTTGTGTGGGGAAAGGGATTTTCCCTTCGTAGCTCCTGCAACACTTCTAAGACAGCTAGCTTTCTGCACAATCTTATGGGCTCAGCTGGAGCAGGAAGAGGTGGGATGCAGGCCACAGAGGACTAAACGGACCTTTACTGCTCCTAACTTCCCTTTAGCTCATGCTGGGTGACTAGCAAAAGGCAGTGCAGCAGATGTCTCCATCAGGGGAGGCAGGCTCTAAGGAAGGGAGAACCACCTAGCAAATTATTACAGACAGCCCCCAACAGAGTTGACATCCTTCCTGGCACAGAGGGGCAGAGCAGAGCATGGCTGACACAGAGGTAAGCAGCACTGGGCAAGCCTTCTCCAGCTCCAGCAGCCTTCCTCTTGTCAGCAACCACTCACCCTCAGCATCTGCTGCTGCTGTTGCTGCTGCTGCCTCAGGTACTGCTGCTGCTGCTGGTCAGGCAGTATCTGGCTGGGTCGAATTCCTGAGGGGACTCCTTGTGGACCCAAATGGTTCATCCCACTCATCATGGGGGCCTGCTGTATTGACTGGTGAGGAAACCTGCAAGAGAAAGGGATAAGCTCATGGAGTAAGATTCACGGGCAGCCAGCTTCTTTAATCTAAACCCAACTTCTGCTATCAACAAGACAGACAGACAGCCCAAACAGCCCTTTCCAATCCATGCTGCCTCTCTGCAGAAAGGTGAAGGACACCAGGGCCTCTCAAGGGTTTCATCCAACCTGTTTTTCTAGAAGCCCTAAATAATAGTCCTTGGCCCACTGTTCTGCACAGTTTGCCTGCTGGATTTATGCCTGCTCAGGACCAGTGGAAATCCCAGATCTAGCCCTTGGATGGTGATCTGCTGGTTAGATTTAAAACAAAAACTATGACTTTCCCAGGTAATTTTTCTCATACTTCACAATTCCATCTTTCTCTGGCTGGTAACACTGTCTAGCACCTGCGATTAGCATCTCTGAATTTCACCGTCTCTCTGTTTCTTCCCAGGACTGAAAGCTGGATAAATATGTTCCCCTGAGGGCGAGAAGGACTTGGACGCTGTATAACACAGCAGGGAGAACAGGCTTTTCACAGATTGCTGTTAGGGTTGTCTGAGCAGAGCAGGGAAGCCCTTGATGAAATACAGCTTATTAAAATCCAGTAGGGTGTGATGTACCTCTGTGTGTTGCCCAAGGTGTGCCCATAGCCAGGGGCCTGCTGGTGTACGTAGCCACTTGGTCTCTGCTGCATCTGTCTAACAGGATCCACCAGGGCAGGATTAGAGCTGGGGTGGGAATTCTGATAGGGCTGGCCAGAATAGGTAGGAGGTACCATTGTGCCTGACTGGGAGGGGTGCTGCTGAAGGCCTATGTGGGAGACGTAAGGTGTGTAACCCTGAAATGAAACAATAAGCCTTTATCAGTCATGGGGTAAGGCACAAAAGAGAATTTGGAACACAGGACATCAGCCTCCTGTAAATACTGTCACAAGGCTACTCATCTCTGGGATTCAGATTCATGCTGCCTACTAAATGAGGAATGAGAAGAGCCAAGAGGTTTCAGGATATAGCAGCAGAAATGAAGATGCTGCCCTGTGCTGGAGCCAGATTCCAGTCTTACCTGCAGTCACTGCCACTTACCTGGGAAGGCTGCAGTGCTCCATAGGATGGGGTTGGAGCCATCTGGCGCACAGGCTGCTGTCCCATTATGCCTTGGCCCTGCTAGAAGGCAACAGAGAAACACTTTTTTCAACATCTGCAAAGGGCAGGACACTGCTGCTCTCTTCTCGGCAGCTCTCACCAAACCAGACAATCTATGACGCTGCTGCACAGCATGCAGATGCTAATGACTTCTACCTCACTCTGACTTGGGACAAATAGGCCACTAACATCCCTACCACCCCCACAGCCAGGATATGCCCCTCTCTCTGCCCACCAGCCACAGATGCCGCAGTGTACCTCACTGACAGCCTCCACCAACTGTTAGTGATGTGGGCCCACAAAGCAGGTGGCAAACACAGCGCTGCACCAGAGGAACAGACACAAGAGAGAACATCTTTCCAGGGCAGAAACAAAGACGAGGTTGGAGAGTTCTGGCTAGAAGGGATAGCCCCAGAAAACAGCTTGGGCTTGCTGTACTGTGGAGTCCGGCAACAGCAAGAGCACAGCTCTGACTTACCAACTTCGCTTGAAGTTGCTGCCTCAGTATCTGTCCCTGGGACACTGGAGGCTGCTGTCTGTACACTGCTGGCTTGTAGGAGGGGTCAATGCCCATCATGCTCCCCATCCCTGGAGGCAGCACACCACTATAGGGAGGACGACTCTGAACAAGTTTCCCCAGTGGCATGCGCACAGGTCTGTAGGATGTATCCAGGCGAGGGCCACCTGCAAGGGGAAAAGAAACACACTGACTAGTCACATGCTATTGCTGAGCCTTCTAGCTCCAGAATGACTGTTCACCACTGTATCTAGACATGACAGGCAAAAGGGGAAAGTGTAGGGACCTGCGTAGGACCATCTCACAGAAGGGGTTCTTACAAGAGGTTCCCAAAGAGGTGCAACATGTTCACCTCTCCTGTGCACCTACCTGCTGGAAGAGGCTGATTCTGGGCATAGAGACCCACTGGTGACTGCCCATAAGCCAGCCTCGACATAGTGCTTCCTGACTGGTGATGCAAGAGATCTGTAGGCATACCAACTCCATATGAAACCCCTCGGCTAGGGCCCAACACAAAATCCTGCAAAGACAAAGAAGGAGTAAGAAAGATCAATGTGCACTGGGAATTCATGGATGGATGAAGAATATGAAAGGTTTGCGAAGTCCACAGGAGGAAGCCTGGAATGCTCTCTGAGCCAGGCAGCCTCCTTCCTGCCCATCAGGGATTAAGAAAATGTTTGCCCTGCCCCAGGCAAGAGAGAGCAGGAGAGAGATCCAGCACTCCCAGCTGAGAGGAAACACATCCCATCTTCACCATTACACCACTCTCAGGCTCCTCAGGAAGACTCAAAGGAGTGCTCTGTGACTAGGAGGGGTGGACATGGGAGGTCCATAGCTGTTGGGCAGTTAGTTACCTCAGTTTTGCTGGCAGATTGGTTGCGTTTCTTGGCTTTGCTCTGTTTCTTCTTGCGTTCTTCAGTAGAGGTGGCAGGATTGGAGCTTGTTTTATCAGCCTTGGCTGGTTCTGCAGCTTTCTTCTCTGGCTCCAAAGCCACAGGTGTAGGAGGCTCTTCCTCTTCAGGGGGCAGCGGCAACGGCTCCAGGTAGTAACTGCGGGGCTTGGGTTTCAAGTGCGTGTGGTACAGAAGAAGCCTCTGCTGCTCCTCAAATCTAGACACCTTGCGATCCACCCGGACTGTCCCAAACCATCCCCAGGAGAGGGGGGCTGAGTGCTTTAAGCCCTCAAACAGATCCCAAGGGGAAATCTTCTGCTTTGTAGAGACTTGCAAACCCTTTAAAGCAAAAGAGATAAGAACCTCCAAATCCCTGTTGTTTCTCCTATGAAGGTACAGGAAACTGCTTTCTTCAGGCTCTACTCCATATGTCCCAGTAAACAGCCTGAGCCCCTACTAGTGGTCCCAGCTCTTCCACGTGGCAAAGCAGTGATTTCTAAAGGCCTTCATCAACAACTGCTACTCTCCTTCATCCCATCTCTGCCAGTCTTCTGCACACTGGCACTGCCCAGTAACTTGTGCAACAGGGAATATGGGTTTCTCTTTACGCTTTATACAGCCGTAAGTACAAAATAAAAGTTTTAATAACTTCTCAGGCCATGTACCACCAAGCATTAACACCCAGATTTGCCCTTTTTGGATATGGTTATGTGCCAGGTTGTCTGCATGCAGCCAGCCACTTCAAGCTCAGCAGGCAACAAGGCGCTGCATACAGATGCCTCCCAAGGTGTGTAGAGTCAAGGCATCGGAGGACAAGGTGACACCTCCACTCAGGAACTGTGATGCAGACAAAAAAGCTTCACTTACCTCCTTTTTGAAGATGGAGTCAAATCCAGCTATTTTATTGCCTTTGGTGTCAATGAGGGATCCCTGAGGTTCACAGGTGATCACATCTCGGGTCTGCTTGGGAAGCGGCAGTAGCTGTCGCACCTTCTCCAGGCTGTCAGACTGTCGGTCCCCCAGCTCTTTCTGCACAAGTGGAATAGAGAAGCCTTGAAGAAACACTCAGAAGAAGTCATCCAAAGCCTACTTGTGCCTCTCCTGGTATCAGCCTCCATCCCTGCATTACTTCTCACCTTTGCACCCTTCAGCCCTACAGAGCCATTGGGGCCACCCACACTGCTTCATCTAAACAGCAGCAACAGGACAAGTACCATTCATGAGACATAGATAAATCTGCATAGTTGGACAACCACGACACAGCACACACTGCTCCCCATACAGGGCCTGGTGTCCCTCACCCTGAGTTTCTTGACAAGATTCATGTATGCCCGCTTGTTCTCCTCCATGCTGCCCTGAGAAATGCTGGACATATCAGCAGCCAGGGTGCCATTGATGAGAACACTCAGCATGTCCAACACGGTGGTGAAGAGCTCACTGTTGGTCAGAGCAGAAAGGTCAAAGTCACCTGAGAAGCAGATATAAAGCCTCTGCCATCATAGTAACACCAAACATTATTAGATTGCCAAGAGTACTGCCTACAGTCAGAAGTGCCAAGTGCTCTTCAGACTAACCTCCCACACTAATCCTCCTTTTGCTTATACACCATAGGGTGTTCACACTTGAGTCAAGTGCCGTATCACAGATTAAGACTGGTCTCCTGTCTATCCATTCAGCTTCTCCAAAAAGCAGGCCCAGACTCAGCTCTGCCCTGCTTATCTCTCTGCATCTGGAAAGCCAAGTTTGGTCTGGATATGTCAGAGTGCACTTGGATACTAGGACCCAGGTTGTAGCCTGCTATTACTGTGAAGTGTCTTTCAGCTGTCACAGTAATTCTGACAGATCATGTAGAGAGACAGCTAGCTCACATGAGAAAAGGGGCCATGCTAACAACTGCCTCCCTTGGAAAGTGTATGGATCAGAATTCAGCCAGAAAGTTACTTGTTTGACTGCATGTCTACGGTGCCACTGCTGATGATGTCCAAGAGAAGCACAGCCCATTCAGTCGTCTGCTGTGTACTGCGTTGAACTGTGTCAAACATTCCTCCCACCTGGCAGAGAAAAGTAGTTTAGTCACAAGGACACCATTAAAAGTGAGAAAGGAGCCTAAACCAGAACAACTCCTGTGCTACAGCAACTCTTACTGAGAGCTGAAGGAGACTGCAGTCAGCAGGACAAACCTCTGATGCAAGTAGTAGTGCTGTGGACTGCAAAAGCATTGAAATGGGAAGGCACATTTCCAAAACAGAGACCAAGGCTGTGGATTTCATCCTAATGAAATAGAGCAAGGGAGTTTCTCCATGCACGCTATCCCACTCAGGGCTCAAGCAGCAAAAGTGCCTCTACTTCCTTGCCACTGGACATATACGGCCCCTCCAGTGTATGCATATTCCAAAAGAAGGAAAAAAGGCAGACAACTCTTCACCCCATATGGTTAAGCTTTTTTTCTGCAACTGCTCACCAAATTCAGCCGCAGTTTCAGGGCCTCGTGCATCAGCTGCTTGGCTTTGCAGTCATCTTGGTACTGATCTTCCCGCCAGTTCGTAACAATCTAAGAAATTTAAAAGAGAGGACAGAACTCACAAGGTGTACGCTGAAGTTTATACAGAGCAGCTTGTACTGCCCGCTGTCCAGTGACTCAGAGATGGTCAGCTCAAGCACCCTATACCAACCAGGGTAAGATCTTTGCCTTATTGAGCATATAATCAGACAGGCAACATCCCTGAGGTCACGCCCAATAGCCTGCCTGCTGGAGGAGTAAGCCCTTGAGGAAAGTGAGGGGAGAAGCAAGATACCTACCTGCTGGACCTGACTGTACAGAGAGGTAAGGAGCCCTTCCCGCTGCTCATCCTGTCCCTTCAAGCATGTTAGCACCAGTGACAGAAATGGCTGCTGGCTCAGGAGGGACATGCTGCAGAGAGAACAGAGATGGAGCTATACTGCCAGGCTGGGGGATCAGCACTGCAAGCATTGCCTGCCCTTTCCCCAGGACTCACCTCTTCTGCTTCTGGCGGTCCCGCTCTTTGCGGGACGATGACCCCAAATGTTGTCCTTTCTCCAGTTCTTCTCCAGCAGCTTTCAGCACATGGCCCTGCACTGATGTTGGAAGCTTGGCAATCAGAGGGGCCACCAGCCACACTCCTGATCTCTCCAGGGAGCTGTGACAACACAGGAGAGAAAAGCAGTTTGCAATCCAACCTATGATTTCAGAGTTGTCTACAAGGAAGCTGCATGCTGGGACTACACGTACCTGAGGATGGGTTTGGATTTGTTGCTGGCAGGCGTAGCACTTGCTGAGCTACTGATATTGTTGACTCCATTACCAGCAGAGCTAGCAGAGCTGGTCTCTGCTGACTGCTGGAATACCTCAATGGTGGCTTTGGCAATATTTTCTAACAAGGAGTTCATCTCCTGGAGATAGGGAAGAAAAGACAGCCAAGTCCTTCTCTAAGAGCACCCACTGACAGAGCTTGCACATTTCAACACAACTCAGTACAAACCCACTTTGCCAACTTCCCCATGGCTGCTAGTCTTCAGGTCTCAGACTCATCGCATCCTTCTCATGCTTGGCTTTCACAAGCCTGACTCCCTCTTTGTTTACTTTCTCTCTACTCCCACTTCTGCCAGGCCACCTCGCCACCACCTCACAAGCAGCCACCTCAACACTGGCAACACACATCCCTGTATGGTCCCTCTGAGTAGAAACTCACATTGTTTGCTGTCTGCTTAATCATGAGCTGCAGCTCTAGCGAGGACTGCCTCATGGTCCACTGGTCCAGATTCTGCAACAACACACACACGCATATTTCATGAGTCCTTATCTCAGTTCAAACTACATCAACCCAGACCCTCAGCTCCCATGATAATGAGTGTCAGACCCCTCAGAGGGCTGCATTTTGGACAACCCCACTCTAACACTACATTAGGCAACTACTAGGACGCTCTTAGATTCTGCCAGTAGCCTGCACCTGTAAGATGCGTTTAATCCTCTGGCGCTGAGGATTTTCTCCTTCCTCATTGTCCAGCAGCCGGTGTGGATAACAAATCAGCTGCATCAGCCTCTGGGCCTGTGTGCTGCTCAGGACAGGATCCTGCAAGTCATTGCTGTCTTCACAGAGGGACTTCAGACATCGCTCACCTACCCACTCCTGCAAGGCGAAGGCAGAGTCAGCACAGTCAAACTGACATCTGATTCCAAACCAGCACCCCAGCTTTCAATCTCAGAGAGATGCAGGGAACACATTAAACTCAAAAACCTTATTAGTATGCAGCTATGCCTGATAATCATTTCTCTTCATGAACTGTACTATCCCAATTCAGCAGGCGTCAGGCACAGCACAGCAATCACAACAGAGGAAACATCAACTTTGACAAGTCAGTAGTGGTGAAATACAGTAGCTGATTTAACAGTACACAGTCACTGCCATGCCTAGGCTCCATCAACACTGCCGCTTGGGCTCAAAAGATCAGAAAGGATCACTTAAAATTATTTGGTCCATTTCCTGCACAATAAAGCCCTGGAGCTATTCTAAATTAAATAATTCAGGGCTACAACTAAGGCTAAACTAGAACACATCTTAGGGAAAAGCACACCCCTTAATTCTCAAATAGTGATGGAAAACACACTGCCATCCTTAGTAAAAACCAATGACTTTACTTCTCAAAGCCTGGAAAGGGAAACAACTGACTGGATGCAAGCCATTTATAGAGTCACAAATCATGAGGAGAAGATAGACAGAAAACTATTATTGTCAGCCTCCCGATTTCAGTTAGTGGTCCCTAAACGTATGAGAATAATAAAGGCAGCAGTTTCTAAAACAAACATGAGGCAGGTACTTCTTCACACAATTTACAGTTAACCTGCAGCATTCGTTACTGCAGGATTTTTCCATATTGAAAATCAATTAGGCAAATTCATGAAATTAAAATCTACAGAGGACTGCTATATAAGCACTTTTGCAGCTGCAGAGCAAGCCTGATCAGAGAATTCTTCCACTGAGAAGTGACAACCAGAAGAAAAGAGATGAGGATCCAGTTCATGAAGCACAGGTACTGCCTAGAAAGCTGGGAACAGTCCCTCTCAGCAGAAGACAGCACCCTAAGCACTAAGTAGAGCACAAAGATCAGAAAGGCTAAATCTCTGGTTTGAAATGCTTGTGAAACCATAGCCTAGATCTTCAACTTCATCCCACATGAAGTTTCCACTTTACCAATACACGTGATCTGGCAATTTCTCCAATGCCTATTGCATTTCTCCCCTTCAATGTCACTACATTGTAGTCTCTTGAAACTTCTCTTCCTTGTGTACATAATATGCATATCCTTGTGAAGACCCTTTTTGTCACTTGCTCAGCTTCCTACAAGAACTCAGACTTCATCTCTGATCCACTTCATTGGTATAATCTCACAAATAAATATGAAGTCAACTACCATCTTCAACCTTGAGGGACTTCTAGCCTCTCTCTCTGCAACATTTCTTTACAAAACAGACACCTGTACAGGCTTCATATTACTGAAACAGAGCCCCTGCCTCTTCACAGAATAGCACTATGAAAGTGTTTTCCAAGCGCTGTGGACAACTCCACTATCCCAATCACCAGATTCAGGTTAGCACCTTTGACTCAAGCCTCCCTCTTGGTTCCCACTGTGGTTTATCACAGCTCTATGACATGAACCTTTTCAAAAGGCCAGTCACAATTACATTTATTAATTTTAACAGGCTAAAGGGCAGACCAGCAACTATGTCATAATCATTTGCACCAAAGAAACCTTTAAATTAATTCTATAATCTGCTCCTTTTACCCACCCCCTCATGATGAAGTCTATTATAAACTATACACCTGAATATGAGATGCAACATTTCCTGAGTTTGAGAAATCACAACCTATAGTTTAAGGCATTCTACAGACATTTCAGAATTGATAGCGTGAGTTCTGCAGCATCCACTGCTCACACTGGAGGTGCTTATATTACACACATCATTTTACCAGCCCTTTACAGCTGCAGGAACCCTGCAGGAGCTCTGGCACAATTTGGTGGTACTCACTGGTGTCTATCGGAATGCTCATTCCTACATAACCTGTGCTGCCAACAGTTGGTATGAGTAGCGATACCCAACACTGCTACTCCCTCCTGTACACACACACACTTACTTTCTACCTACTGTGAGTCGTTCCTACATAGGCTGGGACCAGCAAGGGAATATCTACTTCTGTCAGTGCTACAGTCAGATTTCACTAACACCAAGTATGTTGAATTTATGCTCATAAACAGGTGGCTCCAATTCTTCTTTGGTAGGCTGGTAACTTTGCTATGTAATGAGCCAATTAATAAACAACAGCATCACAATGCATGAGGACAACACAGCACTACTATGTTGTGTTTACACATTAGTAATATCGAATACAGGTTTCAAATTGGAACTCTGCATCTTGCCTGTTGACAGAATAAATTTGCAACAAAGGCCAAGGACACCCTTCAACACCCATTTCCATACAGTAGTGGTAACAGCCACTTCACTCTGCAACTAAGTACCTTATTAGCCAGGTTTCAGTTCCTCAAATGTCAATTTTCCACAAAGGAACAGAAATACTGGTGCTGTCAGATTAGGCTAAGCAAAAGATTTTTGTTGTTGTTCCTTTAATTAACTAAACAGGGCACTGCAAAGCCCAGGGATACATTAACAGCCTAGCTGCAAGCAACACTTAAGCTGCATTCTGAAAGGCACCATTTATCACTTCAACAAGCTGTCTTTCTCACGCTTATCTTCTTTGCCTCCAGCACACATCTCAGCAAACCACTCCCAGCACTCCCCTCCTTGGACATGAGCCCTGTGCTGTTGCCAAAGCAAAGGGGACGTGCAGTCCCTGCATACTGCAACACCTAATTCTTGACAACTGTTTGCCTCTCTATTTTTTGCTAATGGTGAGCAATCCTTAGCGCCATCACGTGGCAGAACCATCACAGGTTCTTTACTGATCTTGCAAATAAATACCAGCCAAACCCAATCTGCAGAAAGTCATATGGGATATATCTGTCTGCAGAAGGCGTAAGGACAAACCTAGAGATGGGACAGACTCACCTGTTGACATATACTCCTTAGTACATACTTGGCATAAATATCCAAGCTAGCTGTTTCTACAGTTACTACCCGACCACTGGCCTTCCTGGTGCCCAGCTCATCATCCATGAGATCATCGACACCTCCGGGGTGGGAAAAGCCAGAGCCTTTCAGTTCTGCATCTCCTACAAGGAAAGCACAAGTGTCACTTAATCATCAATGCTAAACCCAAAGCCTGACCCACAAAACATCCTGAGCTTTTGTAAACTCTCTCTGCAGCTAAGAGATACAAAGCATGTTTACAGCTCAACCAAAGGGCTTCAGGCAAGCCACATATCCACAAAAACAGATCTCCTCTGGCCTTCTGTACAGCCAACACATGCAATACAGTGCCTTTCTCCCACACCCCTAAAACATTCTTACAGGTTCAGGCTAACACAGGTACACACCCAGAACAAAGACAGCCTTCAGCACTGCAAAGACTGCTCCATCCACAATACGATTCTGGGAAGCTGCCAGTAAGTGACGGTCACAGGAAGAGCGGATTCCCACCGTGGGTTTGTCTGCAAAGAGGACAATGGGGAAGGGCAGCACCCAGTGAGAAAGAAAGGTGCAGGCTCCAGAGCTGCCTGCATTATGTGCCAGCCAGTACCGTAGAATCCAGCTCTGAGAATCCCGAGGCTAGCCCTTTTCTCAACTGTAACATGGGGTCAATTTAATTAAGTTTCACAAAGCATAGTGCCAATCACACTGTGACAACTAAACCGTGAAATCCAAATGGGGAGCAGTGCCTGTGTCATGAACTCCAAGCTCCAACAGTACCCTAACCTAGAATACAGGCTGGGTTTAGAGATCTGAGCTATCAGGATACTGATGAGGAGCCAAGAACAGAGCTTCCTGGACTGTTTCCATCATCAGACAAAAAGGGAGTGCTGTAAAATAGCAGCTTCTGGCACCAAGTTAAGAGGCTATACAAAGCTCAAGACATAAAAAAAAGAAGTGATCATTACTCTAATGGCTTAGTGATGGCAAGGCCACCTCTACTGGCTGGTTTCCTGCCTCCAAGAGCCTCCTCCCCAACATGCCTGGCTACCATGAAGTGACATAAATGGAAGGATATTGTTCTTTGTCCTCTGCAGAAAGCAGTGTATAAGGCTTTGCCTGCTTTATTCAAAGCAAGCAGGTCATGATCTCTAATCATAGGGTCCAGTATCCCTTTTCTTGGGGTGCAAGAGCCTCAGTACTTTCACAATGAAGAAAGGCTCTACTTGAATTCACTTACTGCCATCTTGCTGGCATGGGTTCAGCTGTGGAGTCTTAAACAGATGGAGTAAAATCCGGCAGGTCAGACGTGCTCCTGGTTCTGAATCCTGTTCACTGCAGGCTATGTAAAGAAAACAGTCAACTGAGATTTCTTAAGCACTGGGACAACTGACTCTCAATCCAAAAGCTATTCACAGCACACTGCCCTGGAGCAGCCAGTTGAGAAGCTGCAGCAGCCTTATTGTATTTACAGATATGGAGCATGTGCAGCAATTAACATGCAAGTGAGCAAATCCATCAGTATTATCCCCCATGACATGCACTGCATTCTGCTTCCTCCATCTTCCCAACTTCACCCTGTGAGAGTCTGGATGCTGCAATCCCCAGAACAAAGCTAGGAAGGCTGGTAGCAGAGTAAAGGCAGCATGACCCAGGCACTGTAGGCCCAACTGATCAGCTGGCTGCTCTAACCAAAATACTAAGCTGAATCAGCAGTGGGAGTACTGCTGGGGTTCAGAGCAGAGTACAACGGTCAGACAGTGTGGCTGATAATATCTCCCCTTGCTTATTTTGGTTTGCACACAAACTCCAGAGAGAAAACATTGAAAAACCTTAGCACAACCAGTTTTGACAGAAAACAAAAGGCCAGAAACTCTCTAAAGCAAAACATTCAATTCTGGGGTTCACAAAGTATCCATTAAGCACAGGCCTTTGGGCCAGAACTGAGACATAAGACCAGCTTTCTGCAGGAATGCACTTACCAGCATTGAGGAGTGAGGGGATAGCAGCACAGCGAATCAGGTCCTCCAGCAGCAAGCACTGCCGGGCAATGAGAATGGCAACAAAGGTGGCCAAGGAATCATGGAAAGATAAGTCACTGACCTGGAAGAGAGGATATCAGCCAGTGACCACAACAGCCTCTGCCTCATTCCCTCTGTCAGCAATTTCTCAGCTTGCCTAGGAGCTGGGGGGTAGAAGGGCCCATAACCCCAGGGTCAATGTCCATGATCAGCCCAGACTGCAACAAATACCAAAAGGTAGCCCCAGTATTCAAAGCCTTTCCCCTGTCCTCAGAAGACAAAGCCTCCATCCCTTGTTCATTTCTGCCTTCTCCCCAGGGATCCCTCCACTCCTGCTTCAATTCCTTTTCCCCTTTTGAATGTTTGCACTTGCATCAACATTGCAGAGGAGATCATTGAAGCCACAGGTCCCATTATTGGAGGAACAGCACAAAGCTTTGAGCACACCCAGCCACTCGGCGCTTAGAGACTTGCAGTAGCCAGTTAGCTCAGCACACAGGATAGCAATGTCGTTCACCCTGTTAAATAAATAATGAAAAAGGCAGAGGGTCAACTTTGCTACTCATGCACGCCATCAGGTCAGTGATTCTCTAAGGGATCCCAGCATCAGCTCCTCCTTCCTTATACCCCAAGACAGCCAAGGAACGGCTACTGACTTTCTTACCCTCACCTAAAGATTTTACTATCTCACTAGAACCATGAAAGTTCTGCCTCTCACCTGTCTGGATCGTGGTGTCCCACACACACATGCATAAGTGCATTACAGACAAAACTGTAGCGGTTGGCTGGGTTTTCATTGAGGCTCTTGCCCAGGTTGGTGTATGTAAAGTTATGTGCAGACGGATTTTCAATAGTGTCAATCATGAACTCTGGTTCCCATAGCATGTTGGAGTCAGATGGCTCAACATTGCAGTAGATTGTATTCTTCACCTTGGAGCAGAAGTCACTAAACAAGACAGGAAAGATATTAGGAACACAAAAAACTAAGCTTCCACTGAACGCTGATAAGCAAAGCAATCCTGTGCAAGACAAGCCCTCCCTGGGCAAGAACAAATGGAAACTCAATCACCATGTACCAACAAAGACTCTCCCAGAAGATTGAAGCTGGTTCTTTGTTGTGGAAGCACTTGGAAGTTACCCGTCAGCTCAGTGAACATAGCACGGGAATGGCTATTCCAGCTTAGATCAGTGAAACACTTAGCTCAGCCCTTGGTGTCAGAACAGTTGATGCCCAGAGAAGAGTTTAAGAGCAAGGCAGGCATGTGGCAATAGTGCTCCAGCATCCTTACCCACCCTGCTGGAACTTAGGGCTCACAGATTTTCAGAGTTAAAGATAATGCTCTCCTCAACAGATTTTCCTCCTGCAAATTTGTCCACCTACTTTCTGAATCCAGTAGATTTTTGACATTCACAACATGGAATGAGTTCCATGTTAACTATGAAGTTTATTCTTTTGTTCTGAATCCATCATTTCTATTCATTCCTTTTCATGCTTGTAAGACATATTGAACATTCAGTTTATTTTCCATATCAAACAGAACTTTACAAACTTCTATCATTCCCCCCCAGTCCTCTTCTGTGGGGAGGAGATTCAGTTCCTCCTAAGTAATTCCAAACCTCTGGTCATCTATCCACTCACCCTCCTTTAGGCCTAACTTGACTACATGCTTTTTGGAGTTTGTTGCCCCAAACCACAAGGCACAGTTGTACCATGACTTAAATGGTGGCCTAATGATGCTCTCTGGTCTGTTCTCCATTCCTTCCAAAACAATACCTAACATTTAATTTGCTTTTTGACTGTTACTGAACACTATGATGTCATTTTCAATTATGTATCTGTTACAGCTCAAAGAAACTTTATCCAAAGAGTAGTTTATATCCATCGCTACACAAAGTTTAGAAGGGAAAAAGGACAAACCTATGTGCATTATTTTATGTTCAATAACACTAAACTTTATCTGCCAGTTTATTACCTGGTCACCATCACTGCACCCTATTACAACAACCTGCAGCCATCTTCTATTGTTATATGCTGAACAACAGTTATATGAAAAGTTTTGATATCACCACTAGTACAACTTTTGATGCATAGAACAGCACAAGCACTAGCAGAGTACTATGGGACTCCTCAGGGAGGGATCACCCGCAAAATACGAACTCCCTCCCACTCCTTGTCTCCACCTCTAACCTATTGTTTGCCTGCTAGAGGATATTCCCTTTTATCTGTGGCCATTTACTTTAAGGCCTTGCTGAACAGCTTTTGGAAATTCAGTTAGACTAATATCAGGTTTCTCATTTCCGTATGTGTGATGACTCCTTCAAAGAACTCCAATGCACCTGTGACCACAGCACTCCCTCTTGCTCTCAATTCAGTCCAGAGAGAGACTTGAAAGGCTCTCAGCAGCCAGTTCAGCCAGCTAACACGAAGGCACAAGCAACTCTCACAGCCCCTCAATGAGGGGGTAACACAGAGGGTTAGACGTCCCTGTGGCACGTCTGCACTGGAGACACCAATAAGGAGCAGGGGCTGTAAGAGAAGATGAAGTGAAGCACTGTACTAGGAAACAGGGCTGTCATGAGAATTACCCTTTCACAGGATCATGTAAGCAAAAAGCCAGGGAGATCTGTGGACTCCATCTCTGGACTGCTAATGGAGGAGCTCCAAATGGAGCTGGTGGGGGCACAGTTCCCAAGAGAACTACAAAGGGCAGAAGGCCACAGAGTAAAGTAAGCCCACGGGACAGAGGCTGGGGGCAACATGAGCAGAGCAGAACCTGAAGAGCCAACAGGGGCAGGGGCAGAAGAAGGATAAGGAGCACAAAGTAGCACAGGAACAAACCCAGAACCGAGCAAAGCAGGTTGAGAAGCGGTCCAAGGATTATTAGGGAGCTGAGCACAAGCAGAGAACAACCTTTAGGATGAACTGCTCAGCCATCAGAGCTTGGTAGGAACAGACCTGTCTACTTCTATCCTCTAGGAGTGGGGTAAGAACAGACCCGTCGAGGTGCAGAGGACTACTGAAGACAATTTACCAAAACTGACATGACGATCTAAAAGTCAAGATTATACACTGGGTCATTACTGCCTGTAAAACAGGCACTACTCCCAAGACTTCAGTTTCCCATTGAGAGGATCTCAGGGACAATCCCAAACAAGATCACAAGCAAAGCTTAAGTCAAGGTGCTATACTGGTCAGCACCCACTGTATCCCACCTGCCTCAGACTCACCTAAAGAGCTCCCCAAATTTACTTTTGAGGTGACTGCAGGAGGTATACAGGTCGTAGAGATAGGCCAGGATACAGCGCTCTGCTGAGGAGCCATCTGAGCGATTCATGCCATGTTTCACCACCCCACACAGACTGTATAGAGACAAAAAAAATGCTGCAGCAACACAAAAAGAAAATCTGAAGGAATAACCTCATTACACAGATATCTTCCTGAGCTCACAGCAACAGTGCTCACTGGGTAACATATCCTGTCCCCTGCAAATTCTGTGAACTAAACCCTCAAGCACAAAGTTGCTGCCTTTTAGGAAGGACACAGATACACCTCTGCCCCTTACAAGCCCCCAGAAGGTAAGTCACTTCCTTCCACATGGTGAGGGGAAGATTCCCTTACCCTTCGAAGACCTGAGCCATCTGGTCCTGGTTCAATATAAGGCAGGAGTGGTAGTGCCGCAGCACAGCCACGATGCACAGGCACAAGCTGGTGGTGTAGCTGCCAACAAGGTCGGAGGATTTCAACAGCAGTTCTGCCTCCACCACGCTCAGTTCATTCAGCAACTGCACCCAATGACAGAAAAACCCTTCAACAGCCACAGGGGTAAGGTATGGTCAGAAATGGAGCCAGCACACCACACCCACAGCCTATAGGACCTGCCAGGAAAGGGACTGGCAGGCACTTTCTGCCTATAGATGTACCCCTGGAACAGCTGGCACCCCATACTTAGGCACAATGTCTCACTCAGGCAGTACAAGGGGCTGTCAGTGCTTGGGTATCAGAGGGCGATTAGGATATGGCCACAGATAGTAGCAGGCAGCTTGTTTGGTAATTCTGTCCTGCGTAAATCTCACTTGGCTCCCTTTTTAAGGCTAACAGCCTCAATTCCATCAGCAACCATAGCAAGGTTTCAAGAGACACTTGGCACAGGCTGCTGAAACAGCAACAGGATTTTAGCAGGATTCAGAAGGCAGCCTGCACTGCCATGTGCCAAGGATCCTTCCAGGGGAGCAAGGTGGGAGAGCTGCCAGAGACACACAATCCCCTTCTGACTTGGGACAAGACCTTGCTGCAGCCAGGGACAGAGATGCAATGCAAGTCCTTTGGAGACAATCCTGAAGCCTCTGGAAGAATAATCCTCAGAACAGAACATGCAAGACTACCTGCCACAACCAACCTATTCCTAACAGCTGCAGCGCAGGAGCACCGCAATGACCACCCAGTCTGACCACCTCCATGACACAGGTCAGAGGGTCACCAATGATCCCAGGAGCAACCCAACTATCACAGCACAGATCTGCTGCCTTTCAGGCTGATGAACCCCTCCCCAGGAAGCGTTTGAGCACACTGGGCTTACCTGGATGGCAAAGTCGATAAGACCACTGATATTGAGCGAATACTCCATCAAGTCAAATATGAACTGCACGTGCTGTACCAGAGGCAGGTGGTATGACATTCCCAAGGCAAAGCTGGTGATCTGTTCCAAGACATTGCGAGATACCTGCAAGTGCAAGACAACACACAGTACTACCTCCCCTTTCAGAAGTTCCTCAGCAGGCCCATCTCCCCTTCCCTCCAGGAAGCTGCTCTCAGTAACGCAAAGGGACGCAGTCAGAGCCCAGGAAGGACAGCAGTCTTTAAAGTTTCATACCTGAGATGTGACTTGGTGCTGATCAAAGTGAGAAAGGTGCTGGAACTTTGCAAAGATATCTTCAGCTGTTGGGAATGCTTCTGGCTTGCTCTTTTTCCTCTTCTGGCCTTCCTCTCCACCTACCAAAGTTGGGAGGATCAGAAAACAGTATTAGGCTATCTTCCTCATCAGAGGAGGCCTAGACATCAGCCATCAGCACCTGCTAGTCCTTCAGCAAGATCAGCCCCTGCCATGCAGCATAGCCAAAAAGCCCGAGTCCCAGACCTTAAGCTGATAAGGATCATCTTGAATTCAAAACAATAAATTGCTGAGCAAGGAATTCCTAACCTGAGAATGACAGTAGGGTTAACATCTAGTTTATCCCAAGTAAAGGTACTCCTTGGAAGGAGAAAATACTTTCTCTCTTGGTTTAGAAGTACACTGATTCCCTGATAACAGAGGTTCTGGATTGGAGATGTTCAGCCTCAAAATTTCTTTGTCAGAACACCCCATCTTTTAAAGAATCATCTTTCTACCACATTTCAAGTTGCCTTTCAGGAATCAGACTAAGAGAGAAAAAAAATGTTAACCAGATTCTCAGCTGATGAAAGTCAGAGGCTTTCTATTGATTTTGACACAGCTATCCAAATCTCCCATCCCACGCATTTAGCATGTGCCCCAAGCATAACGGCATGCTACAATTAATCAAGGTCTTTGCCAAATATGCATAGGCAAAGTCCTCTTTGGTTCTTGTGCAAGGACCTAAATGCAAGAACTAAAGAAAATAAAATTTGAAAAGCCAAAGTTTTGGCCAGGGTCTCACTCTGAACTGGGTATGACTTAATCCTCTTCTGAAGAAAAGTTCAATTAAATTGACATTGTCTGCAGGAAACCAATTGCCTTACTTGCTGGCTAGTATGTTTGGGAACAGAGCACCATTCCAGACTCTCAGTGACTGATACAGCTAACCAGGCACCGTAGATTATATAAAATCCTTTCACTGTGAGACTCCAGACAAAGGAGCCAGCCAACTGGAAAGACGATCCTACTTCAGAAAGGAGTGGCTTAAGCTCTACTAACCCGTCTCTGCAGTGCTCTTTCTGTTTAAGACTTTAAGAATGTCTTTAGTTATTTTCTTGATTGTATGCCGAGCATCGTCCCGTTGTTTTCCAACCCCAAAAAGAACTACCAACCGTTGGTTACACTCATGACTGCATGACTCCTCCTAGGGAACCAAAACAGACAACTGCATTAGCAACTATGAGGCTGAATGCTTTAATCCAGTTTCACATCTGGATCTCTTAAAGGAAAAGGAAAGCTTCCTCTCAGAAGTTGTTCTGGGAGTAAGCAAGGCGACATCTTAAGCAGATCACCTCCCGCAGCAGTGCAGGAAAGGATGACTGCTCCTTAGCCACCCACAGCAGTACTGCAGGGAAACACAGCAGCCTCATGACCAGAGCACAAGGCAGCAACAGGGGAGCGGTTATGAGCAGGTCTCATACCTGAGGAATAGGAAAGTGTGTCGCATACTGGATGTGCCGAGGCTGGTCATACAGGGATGCTAGCATTCCTTCCACAGACTTATCCTTCAGCAAAGGCTTTGCTTCCTTTTCAGGATCTGGTTTCTCAGGGGAAGGACTGGCTTTAGATTCACAATGCATTGGAGGAGAAAACATCTAGGGAGACATAAGAAAAACAAAAGGTAGTTAAGGAACATGGTCATGCAATAGTGAAGATTGCTGAAGGAAGGTACATCTGCTCAGGCCTAAAAAGGAGCAGGAAGAGGGAGGGTTGAAGAAACATCCAGTTCTTAGGGCAATGACCAAGGCAATGTGCTAAGACACTACTCCCATTTTTGCTTCTGGTCAATGTTGTATATTGAGTTAAAAACAATAGGAAATAAATAACCACGACTTAGGATTTTGGGAACAACCACCTCCACAGAACAAGTAAGGGCCATGGGAAAGCCACATAGCTCTGCACATCACACCTCCCTAACACGTACCTTGAAAGGCCAGAAATGTCTGGAGGAATGTATGTACTCAGGGATTTTTCAACAACAAGTTATTTTATTACTAAGTGCTTCAAAGCATTCTGCAACCATGAAATATGCACACAAATATTATGAAGAACTGTAAAACCAAAGAAGTACTGAAGGCAATACAGCATGATAACAGCAGACCTGTGCCTTTTCCCAGGTGATCCAGAAAACGCCTGCCAACAGTAACTGGTCACTCCCAACCTCCTGGTGCTATCATGGTCATCCACTTCCCATTCACTTCCAAGCAGCCCATGTCCCACCCTGCCCAAATACTGGGCTGGCAGTAGCCAGCGTGTAAGAGATACCAGGAATGACTGGGACTCACTCTACTCTGATGGACCCTGACCTGCATAAACAGGTTATACGAACCTTTTAAAAGTGTCAGCTGCCTTACAACCCAGCCACTTCCAGCACACTGGCTCTACAGTAGAGAGAGAGTACTCGCACAAAAGCAAGGCACCTGCTGTCCCTGGTCCCACTACAACATACTGACCTACTTACTGAGTAGCAGATAGAAAATGCAGGAACATACCGAAAAGTCTGTCTTCTCCATGTCATCAAAGAGCATGCTGGAGTTGTGGTCAATGTCCATGGGCTCAGAAAGACCTGTGTCCTGGGAACAGACGGAGCAGCTTTACATCTCAGTGATGCACCAGGGAACAAAAGAGTATTTGTTTACTACAGCACTCGAAGTCCATGTTGGACAGTGACAGCAATATGCCAACACCCACGGTGCCTAGCAAGTTGGAGCCTATTACACTATAAACATCATGGACAGGCCTCACACAGGACCTCATGACATGCTGCTCTGCTCCAAGCAGTGCAAGATTTTCCTATCTACTACTTTACATTCTGCTGGCCCTTTCCAGCCACTTAGAACATAGCCTTCTACTTTTGAAAATGAAATGCTAAGGAAATAGGTCTGGGGAAAGAAAAGCATGAGTCACTGATACATCCTCCAGCAGTTAATAGCAAGGAGACTGCAAAGCTGGTAAAAATGGGCAAGCACAACACAGGGACGTGTACAGGAGGGCCACGGTGCTCGTGGTCTCACCTCTAGCTTGATGCCACTGTTTCCCTCCGTCTCCTTCCTGTCGTGCTCCTCAGCAGGGTCATCGAAGGGAGAGGGTGGGCGAGGCCCATGAGAATCCATGGCAAGATCACCCCGGGAGATGAGTGTGCACATGTAGATGTTGTGAGAGAAGACATCATGTCGGATTAGCTCACAGAACAGCAGCACCAGGTTAAAGAACTCCACCTTCTCATTCTCCTTCCCAGGATCAGCTGAAAGGACAGCACAGTCAGGGCTATCAGAGTTCTTCTGCAACACTTTGAGCAGCACCAGCCACCTAACCTAGGGCTAGAGAAAGTGTTTCCAGAGATCTCAACATAGTAAGTGACTAATACACAGTTCTGAGATTACAGCAGGGACTAAAAGCAGAAAGCCCAGTTTCAACAGGTGGCAATTAAGTAAGTCAAAAGCTCTCCAGTTAGTCTCACAGACCAGAGGCATAGGACTTTAGCCTGGAAGTGCCATTCCTGGGTGTACAAACAGTTGCCTGCATCAGAGTTGTATCCTGTCCCTCTTAATCTGTTTGCAGTACTTGCACTGAGAGACTATTCAGAGCTTCGTCACTTCCTAGTTAGAAACCTCCCTCTAGTTCTCAGCCTGAATTAATTCCTGATTAGGCTATACTCATTTATTCTTGGCCAACACTCTGTTAACAGAATGCTTCTGCATTATCTTTCTGTCATCTGGCCCTCCAGGCTGGTATCCCTCCCTCTCCAAGGTATGCTCTGGATTGCAAGGAAGCCAGAGAATTTAGGCACATCCAAGACCTACATACAAGAGAATAGCACACAAATTCAAAGTGCAGGAGAGGGAAAGCTAGAAACTGGGAGACCACAACTTCTTATTACATACTTAGCATAGGAGCCTGAGTGTCAAGGAACTGCATAAGGACATCCTGAAAGACAGGAGCACTGGCTGCTGAGAGAGAGCCTGAGGAGATGGAGCCCTTCTCATCCACGACTTCAGAGTCCCCACATCTCTGTAGAAACAGAAAAAAGCCACCGACTGCTGTCACAGAGGAGAAACTCAGTATCCATAAACTCCAAAAAAGAAGTCAAGAGAATTTCCCTATCTTGCACTTATAGGAAAGCCACCACACAGGTTTCTGTAAGCTACTCCACGGTCTCCAAGTAAGCCAGTACTTCCACACTGCCATCACCTGTCTTCAAACGTATCCAAGAAATGGGATACACACCATCCTGCAGGCTCATTTATGACCTACTTTGGGTTAGATGTAGCAAATGCCATAATTAACGGCACCAGTGTTAAGAGGCATTGTGCTGATCAGCTTTTGCCTTCCAGTGTAATAGTTAAGATAATCGTAGTTAGGTAACCTCTGCTCTCCTTTACCACTGCTAGCTTTCCAGGAATAAGGACTTACCTCAGCCTCTATCTCTGCTTGACGCTTCTCTAAGAGTTTGGCCACGACCATAGCCCTGTGGCGTCCAGAGCGTTTATAGCTGACAGCCCACTCGCACAGCAAGGCCACCACTGCATCATCATCTGGGGAGATCTGTTGAGATATAGGCACTACAGTGAGAACCTGAGCCAAACAGAAGATGTGAGCAGTCCTAAGGCCTCAGTTGGATATAACAGTAGAGCACAGCCGGGAGGCTGTAGCATTCCCCTCTTCCTAACATGGAGGACAGATATCAAGCTAGAGCCCTCCTGCTTCATCTCTGCTTTGACTCCACTTTGCAATACAAGGTGATCCACAGCCTTTGACAAATCTGCAGGCTGGTTTTGCTTCAGAAAATCATCTCTCTTCCAGCAGCACATCTATGGAGTGCTAATCTTAGCACAAAGTGAAACACAGCTTCTCAACAGCATCATACAAAGTATGCAAACTATCACTCCTGCAGCTCACTTCCAAAAACCAATGCAGTATTGGTTGCACTATGGTCCTACACATCATAAATATGTCACCTCCCAGGCTAAGAGGAACTTGAACTGTGAGCTCCCAGACTCCCAGGAAGCAGCTGCCAGCCCAGAATTTGACAAGGCTAGCATTTACTTCTCTCAGACACATAACATGTCTTTATCATCACTCTGCTATCCAGACTGATGTCTTCCATCAGGAGACTCCTCAGTTAGCTGTGTGGATTCTCTCAAGCTTACATATGTTTGTTAGCGTACACTTTCTAGAGCACAAATGCCCCCATTCTCACTTTAGTACCTCCCTAACTTAAGGCTGCATTAAATCCTTTTCAATGGAGATCACATCTCTTGGCCAAAGGGCACTACCTAGTCAGCTCTCTGCAGACACAGGATGGTAACTGTGGAATACAAACAAGAACATAGCCAAGACCAGGGCCCAGCAACAAAGTCCCAAGGCACCTCGTGACTGTCTTTGGTTGGACCCAGCCCAAATATCCTGTTATACAAGGAATCCAAAGAGTTGCTGAAGTCAGATCTTTCAAAGCTGTGACTGTCCAGAACTTCCAAAGTGTGCAAGACACGGCCAATAGTGAAACCTAGAATAGAACAGAGAAGAGAAATGTATATTTGGCAACTGGTACAACAGACTCTGGAGCAAAAGCTTCTGTGAGCTCATTACTCAGGACATTGCCTATGGAAAGCTGTACCAGTTAGGCAAGGGTCCACCTAGCTTAGCATCCTGACTCTCACAGCAGCCAACAGCAGATGTTAGGGGAAAGCATCAGAACATGGCACATATACAAGAGTATAGTTCTCTGGTACACACTTCCAGCTCCCAGTAACAGAAACTCCCCCTATACCTGGGGAAATGGACCCCCACAAAATTTTGCACTGGAAAGAAAAAGAGCCATTTGGTTTTTTTTCACTGCTGACAGTAAACACCAATGGCAGCAAACAGGAAAAATCAAAGTAAACAGCCAGACACAAAGTTTCTCAGGGTAATACATGGAACAGGGGGAGAGAAGCTTTAACCTACAGCAAGTTACCTGCTGTGGTTTCCTGGCACTTGTCAAACGACCAGCGAACCTCCACAGCCTGGCCACGTTCCTTTATCTGCTGCTCAATTTCACGCAGCTTTGCCCGAACCTAAAAGCAATGGACTTGTGTAAACATACAAAAGGATACCTTAGTAGTCCTGTGTACAAAATTATCAGAAAACAAAGAGCATGACAGTAATTCTATGCAAGGTTAGATTTTGCCCATCTTCCAAGAACATCACTGTCTTGCTTATAGCAGAATGGGAGCAGTTAATTCCTTGGGAGCGAGACAGCACCTCCAGCTCTGCTTATCACACAACATGAAAAGAAAATCCTGAAAGAGCTAAGATACAACTATTACCCTGGCCCACAAGAGCTCCCTTTTTTGAAGGCTGCTCACCTGCTGTGTAAAGGCTGAATTCCCTCCTGGCATGGGCAAGTTGGATGGAGCTATAGGCAGGTGGTCCAATGGCGAGCCGGTCTTTATCCTGCTATCAGTCAATGAGTAATGCCACACAAGGGCACTTGGGCAACACAAAATTATACTCTGCAACAGACAGAAAAGTCAGTATCATTGAGAAAATCAAGGTCAAAATAATTAAGTTAGATTACTTTCTACAGAAATAACCACTCCTTTGTCTTACTGCTCAGGCATTCATTGTCCTATATAAATATTTACTATTTGGGGTTTTTTTTTGTTCTAAGCTCTGAAAGATTCTTTGAGCTAAAGACCATACTAGAGTAGAAAGGAGCAAACTAGTATTTTTGCTGCACTGAGTTTCTTGACCTAGGTATGTTTAGGAAGCCAAGACCAGAGTTCCATGTTATCCAAAAGCAGCAACATGTTGCTGCAGAGCAACCTGCTGCTTCTAAAGAGAACTTGTTTTCTACAACTCACACAGTCAATGCACAATCTAGCCCTCATGGTCCCGGAGCAGCATTTACGTTAGTGACTTACAGGCCTCATCAAGAATAAAGTGTGACAAAAAAATAATGAGTCAACAGACCCAAACTCATTATACTGTATTATTTAATAATTACAAGTATTATTATAAACATTATTGTAATCATAATACTATTATATGTGTGTTTTCATTCTTTTATGATCTTGTACAGACACCCACACACACAGACAAAACTTCACTGAATGATCCCTAGGATACACCCTTACAGCTTCTGGCTCACAAGGAGCCAGACATTAAGATGGACAACCAAGGTTGTTTTAAACACTCAAACCAAAGAATCCATCATATCTCAAGAACATTTGAGCAAAGGTTAATTACGTACACTGTTAGAAATGCATGTTTCCAGCCTGACTTCACCCAGCTCCAACTTCCAACCACTAGATCTTATTCTGCCTTAGCCTTATCTACTATCTACAGATCAGAAGATCTGTAGATCTTCTATCAGAAGAGCTCTTCCAAGATATACTAAAAAAGATAAGGCAATCATTAACCCATTTGAACTTTTTAAGCAGGTTGTGTTTAAAGCCCTAGTCAGCCAAATCTTTGAGGTGTAGATGCTTATATGTTTCCCTGAAGTAAGCTCCCCAAACAAAGGGCTTTTATATTTAAAAAGACATGTTTTATCACACCGAAACAAGAAAAAAAAAAATCTAAGCCTTTTTAACTGAAGTGACCAAGAAAGGCTGAACAGGAATACAAAGGGGTTATTTATAACCCTCGCATTGCTCTCTAACCCTTGCAGACAGATCCTTACTTCTAGCTGACTGTACTCTAAGAATCTTCTTTCTACCCTGTTTGAGAGCTGGCTGGCTGCTTCTTGATCCTGTCAGGGCTCCTTGATCTCAAATTTCTCTGTTGAGCTGCAGGTTCCCAACCTCTGTGCTCTCCTCCTCTCCACCTCCTGCTCCATCCTGCACTCTCTGGAATCTCCTCTGCTTTAACATGCTCCTTTCCTCCTGTGGAAGGGGCAGTCTCCACTCCTGCAGGGACCCACCTGACCTACTCACTCTCTTCTTGAAGGAGAAAACCACAACCATGAACACACACACTGAATGGAACTCACCTATCTTCCTCTGACACAAGGACAGTATGGACTGAGTCCCAGAGTGACACAACAGCATTTGCCCTTCAAACATCTATCCGTAAGGCTTTGGCAACCTGGCCCTCTTACCGCAAGGTAAGGCTTAATCAATTCCAAGTATAAAGATAATGAGTTTAGAGTTGTTCCTTCTCGTAGCCTGCTGCCATGCCTGAGGAGAGTGGTCTGCCTAAACCATTAAAGTTCTTCGATAATGAAGTGGGAGGGGTTGTTTTTTGTGTGTGCTGGTTGCTTGGTTTGGTTTTGGGGGTTTTTTTTGTTCTGTGGGGGTGAGTTCTTCTGATGAGGGGTTGTTTGTTTTTAAGAGCTCATAAAATGACAAAGCACTCTTTCATTTCTGGCATAATTTCCTTTCCTAGATGACAACCTATTACTGATATATACAAGATGAAATAACCCTTTCTTTCTCATCCCCTCTTCTGCAAAACTTTCCCAGCCATGTAAGTCAGTCAAGGGCACTGCTACAGCACTGATGTCTGGTACAAAATCTTTGTAACACATCAGCAAAGACCTACCCTTTGACAATCATGGTTTGACATTTCTGTACTCAGGAAGTTGCTGACTCGGACTGTAATGATTTTTCTGTGATGGCATACAATATAAAATGTCCGTGTTGACCCCACGATCACCAACCACTACTTCAACCTACCTGGAGGATGCAGCTGAGCCCATATACCACTGGCCTGTGCTGGGGGCACAGCAGTAAGTCGCTGAAAGGGCTGGGAGGAGGATTCCCTGCAGCTGGCTGAGGGGTGGGAGTCGAAGGAAGAGCATTCCCTGTCTGGGCAGACAGGATGTGGGGTGGGTGCCCGCCAGCACCATCCAGCTGCATAGCAAGCCTGCGGGTGCAGAAGTAGGCCAGACGTCTGGACAGGTATGCAGACTGCACAAACTCTCCAGAGTACTGTAGGGAAGAGGGAGGGGGGAAAACATCCTTGTTACAAGCAGCACAAGAGAAACCCTTGACCCTCCTAAAGTAGCATACTCTGTGGTACTGCCTTGTAGAGACAGTCCTTTTCTACAGAGAGCTCCTTAGTGTCATCTATCACCCACTGGCTACTAAGCATGAGAAAAAACCCACAACTTTAAATGCTCTATGGCAATGACTTCACATATCAAAATGTACCCACACCCAGCCTTCCCAGGGCTTCAGAGGTCTGCCTAGAATCCGGTTGCAACAGAAAGAAAGAAAAGCAGTTTCCATGCAGTGGTGCACAATGAGTCCACCTATCACAGCTATGATGTGGGCAGGGATTACCAAGTTCAGTGCAGAGAAACAGGGTAAAGGACAAAGAGACAGAAGACAGCAGGACTAAAAACATATCCCTGCATGAGCCAAGAAGGATGCTCAGAGGGACGCTCCCTAGTGTACTCAGTGCAAAATAGCTTATCATCCCTTAGGCAATAAGAAGAAGACTGGCAACAGCAGCAGTCAGTGCTCTTCTGAAGCAAGCCAGGTACATATTTCTCACCCGCAGCAGCAGGGGTAGGAGCATTTTCAGAAATTCATCTTCTCCTGACCGTATCTTCTCAAAGCACTCGAGGACCCACGTCAGGAATTCATGTCGGTCTAGCATGCCATCCTGCACACAGATAAAGGCAGAGCAAACGGACAAAAGCTGAAGGAACATCTGCTAAGGGAAGGCAGAGCAGCAGCAGCTGCTTGCTTTCTAACAGTGGAAATAACTCTAGAAGTTTGCACAGTTCTCTACTACCCCTACTCTACTACTGAGCTCAAAACTGCACCCAGCGCTAATGGTCCATTCACAGAATGAGAATATTCTGCAAAAATACATCACTTTGCATCCACTTCCCCTAGCCCTCCTATGCTACGCACCCACCCAGCAGCCCCCTCCAGTCCCTCACCTGGAACATGAACATAGCTAGTTTCTCATTGTAGTCCCACTGCTTCAAAGCTTGTTCCACCTCTTGGGGCATTGGCCCAGATGGTGAACCACAGCCTTGCCCTGGGAGCTGTCTATAGAACTCCGCAATTTTCTGCAGCTGCTCTGACAGGTACTTGGTGATGATCTGCGTCCATTCTGGAGAAGAGGAAACAGGTTAGCAACAAGTGCCATGGTAAACAGAAGCAGGAAAGAACCAGGTTGGTACGCAAGTGGAAACCCAATAAAGTTCCTGTCATTTGAAAAGGACAGAAAGACAAAGAAAGAAAAGTAAGTGCCATATTAGCTTTGCTTGTGCCCCGGGGGCGGTAGGAAGAAGCATCCACAGAAGTAAGGAACAAGGGGAAAAACTTCTGTGTTTGGGGGTGGGGTTACGTTGTACAAGAAAAGTTGGGAAGAAAGATTCTTCAGCTGCAGTTGTTGAGAAACAGCAGGCAGAGAGAATAGGCTTTCCAGCAGGAAGCAGTGTTAGGCCAGCCTGGTTTAGCATCCTCAATCTGACAGACAGCAGAAACACTGGAAACAGTTCAACTCTGAACTTGTTCTTAATCTCTTTCAGATATCAGTGTAAAGCCATGATCAATTATTTTTTTAAATAATTGTTTTTACTAAAACCTAACTGTGTAAGAGACAAACTCAATACACAAAGTGACAGCATGATTACACTCCTCTGGGACAATGCAGATGACAAAACCCAAGGCAAAATATGCAAAAATGTGAAACAAATAACATAGTCTCGGCAGTAGGACAAACACCCAAAGGAACAGGAAAGTAAATGGAATAAATATATCTAACAAACCAATCAACCTCCAGATATAGACATCAGAAGCCTCTGTAACATTTATACCAAAGATAAACAAGGAGGAAAAAAAAAAATCCAAGGACTTCAGCTGCTAATACTGCTTTTCAAAGGAATATGGTCAGGTCCTGTAGTCACAGTCATACAAACCAGAAAACAGCCAGGGGAGCTCTCCTAGACCACAGTAATGTAGAGCAGGCCAGGATGCAAAAGATGTTAGATACGGGATCCAGTAAAGCTTAATGAAATTGGAAACACAAACAGGGAGTAACATACTGGAATTCTCTGGGAAACGTACTTACTCACTTGAGAAGAAGCTAATCAGTCATTGCTAAATTATAATGTTTACAGTCTTTGTAGGGTAAGAAAAAAAAACAGGTTATACAGCAGAGGAGCACAGTAGAACTTAACAGGGAGAAAGAAGAGGTAGGCTCTCAGGATGTACTTGTGGCTGCTAAGACTTATTTTTCAACAGTGTACTCTCACAGGTGGGCCCTGTTGTTTTAGGCAGTTATGCACATCAGAGCACTAGGACTTATCAGCAGGAAACAAGTTTATATGGATTTCCAGGCTACCTCTTACTATTCAAGAACAGGCTGAGAAGGAAACATTTGCGATGGACAAAACCAGCGCTCCGCACAAAGTGCTTACCAATGAAGGGATCAATGACATGACGCTTTTTCACCTTCGTTTCTGTGATGGCAGCATAATAGGCACAAGTCATTTTGATGAGCCAGGCTGCTCTCATTACTGGAACTGTGTATTTCGCCAAATAACCAAAGACCTCTTCCTTCTTGCTGAAGATGGGCACCTGTAACAGAATTGAGAGGGAGAACTGCACCCAAGGACTTAGATGGGAACTATTCCAAAGCAACTACACATGCTGTAGGCGCTGAAAGCTGTGAAAAAGGTAAAAAGGGAAAAGGTACTGTGTTGCTCTGTATCTCAGAAAACCTACTGCAAGAATTCACCTCTGGTCAGAAAGCAACAGTACCAGAGCTGCATTTCAGTATAAAGAGAAACAAAACAAATTGAAAGAAGACAGAAAACATAATTACATCACTGTAAATCCACACCCTGAATCCTGCAAACAGCTTTGAGGATATCCTTCAGAGAGGGTATAAACAACTACAAAAGGTACAGACTAAGGACTGAGTCAGAAACACAGAGTATCTACTATACAGACTGAACATAGCACTCTTCATTTTGTAAACAAAAGAGTGGTTACTAAAGTCTCATAGTATCATGACTAGCCAACAAAAGACTGTGAGAAACAGGGAATTGAGTGGCACAGTAGAAAGGAATTCATTAATCCAAGATTCAAAATTCAAGATACAACATGGGAGGATACCAGTGAAATCATCAGACTGCAGATCTATAAACCAGGAAGCAATAACACATCACAGGAAGAAGTACAGCTGTAAGGCTCGCTTCCACAGGATACTATGGACAGCAAAAGTATGCATGTGTTCACAGAGGAACGGAAATTCAGGGAACAGGTCAATTTGGTAGGTATCTCAAAGTCCCTGAACTACCAACAGTTCAATCGCTTACTTGCTATGTTTCTTACATTCTTCCCAATTATTCCCTGATGCCTCAAAGACACAAAGACATGGACTACTTGGCTAGCAACAGTCACTGCTTTCATGTCTAAGTCCACAAAAACTGATGGAGCCCACTGCAGAAAACTAGGGAAGGCCTTGAAAGGTCCAAACTTTCACAATGACCTCAGGAAACTGACAGCCAAGATGCAAAGAAGGATACAAGGACTACGTTTATAAAGAGACAGATTCTGGGAAAATCTGATAACTTAATTTTCCCCCTAGAGTGACTCAGAACACCAAGGACCAGACAAACTCCAGCTTCTAAACTACGTGCTCTGCTACCATTTCGCAACTGGGCGTTACGTTCTCCCACAACACATACTAGATTCCCGAGTTCCTTGTTTATAGGCCCACCCTGACAGAGAGTTAGGTCCCCTTGCTATCGGGCCGGATAAAATGGCAGAGTAAGACCCTTCTTTCTTCTTTCATACTCTACAGAATTCAGTGTTACCAGGGAAATACCTAGCCCTAGATCCCAGGGCACAGAAATGCTCTAGCCTGGCTGAGAACAAGCTATAATACACATACTCTTCTCAGCTTAAAACCAGAAACATGTGTCACTGCAACAGAAGCCTACGAAGTAACTCAGCTGATTATTTCCAGTAATTCTCACTATGACTTTTGATAACTTGAAAAACCCTCCACAATAGGAATGGTCCTAATCTAAACAACAGGCCAAAGGCAACAGTGGCAGCTCTTCTGAAAAACATCTGAACCTTAAAATAAATCGGTCTTATCATACAAGCCAAAAGGCAAAGTTGAACACAACCTCCAAACAACAGACAAGGGACCAGTTCTTTGAGTGGAGACAACTACAGCCAGCGCACTACAAATCCTGGATACACTCTTCAAGCTGAAAGCTTCAAGAGATGTAGAGAGAAGAAACTTCTCCAAATAATAAAAACCTTCTACTATACAAACACTTCAGAAACAAGCATAGATTAAATACTCTGCCCAGCCAGGCAGCCTCTCCTGTAACATACCTTCTTAGCAAGATGAGTGAGGGGCTTAGTTCCAGCCAGATCTGTGAACCAGTTGTTTATGGCACTCTGAGAACGTGCTGTCACCAGCCAAAAGTTATCCTTCTGATTCACCTGAGGTTTCCGTCTTCCCGTGTCAGGCAGTGTATTGCACCGCAGCTTTTCTGCGATAATACTGCTAAAATTTGAACTGATCTGCAAAAAAAGTAAAAAAGGATGAATTACATTTCACAGGTCAAAGATCTATCTATGTGCTTAAAATCTTATTTATCATTCCTACCAGAATTCTCACCAGTATCAACTTTTGAAACACAAAAAAACCTGCCAATAATTTCCTTTGTTATACTTGCGAAGAGGAATGCTTCTAGACAACTCATACAATAACCAAGCAGGGACTCAAGTTGAGACGGAGACACAGCTCTTTACAAATACTTGTCAAACCAGACAGAAGGCTTCTGGGACACATGTCAGCCAAGGAAAACAAACATACTGTGCTTACTGATTGCGTTCCATCCCAGGTCATTATTAGTCCTCTTGTCGGGGAGGCCAGGAAGTTAACATCTTGATTTTAGAGACTGAAAAAACGGAGCTGAAGCCTGTCACGTAACTCCCATGTCTACATTGCCAGGTGTTTCAAGAAATCTTACTTCTCTTCTACCATGGCCATAATGTAACCAAAGCAGTAAGAAGTTTCCCGCTTCTGGTATCCTAGTCTTCTGCTTTAGTTGGAGAGCAAAAGGAGCTCTAGATGCTGGTTTAACAGAGACTGCAGATACAGACCTGCCCCTAAGATGTATGGAACAAGACAAGAACCTGCTCTCTCAGGTGTGGGACACAGTTCCAAAAGAATGCAGAATTTTGATTCTACAGGAACAGGTTAGGTCCTAAAACACCCATCCTAAAGGGAAGGGTCTCCTGGTTCTGGAGATGGGGAAGGAATGAGACCCAGGACTGCCCAGGACCCAGCAGCCTGCTCGTACAGGCACCAGGCCCTGCCAAACCCCCACACTCTCCTGATGGCTCTCACCTTCGCTGGGTTGAAATTGACATTCTTGGCACTGCCGTGCTCGTCCCCAGAGACTGCCGGCTGGTTATTGAAGCCTTGCTTGACGTTCAGAGCGGTCAGCTCATCCTGGGGGGGGGTGGGGGAGGACGATCAGCAGGGCCCGGCAAGGCCCCTCCATGCCAAACGCCCGCGGCTTCTGTCCCCGCCACGGCGGCTCAGCCAGCGTGGGGACAGGACAAGGCGAGGGCCCGCGGGGCCCAGCCGGGCTCCCCCCGGCCCTAGTTGCCAGGACGCGCG